TCCCCCCCTTCCCCCCCCCCCCCCCCATTACTATGCCCCGCAGAGTCCAAACCTACCTTTAATCAGCTGGAAGAGCTCGGCAGTCGGCTGATGCGCGCCGCAGAGGGGATGAAAGAAGGCAAGTAGGGTGAGTTTATTTGTCGAGAGCCACTCCTTCCGATTGTTCGGTGGCCCTTTGTGGCTGTTGACAGCTGCTGCCTACGGACGTAAGTCACATTCGCTTTCGCCGATCGTTCGAGAATCGGGAAAGAGCTAGTTAGTCGACTGTCGGTGCAACGGTTGGCGTATTTCTCATCGCAGATTTCACGTGTGAACCGAAGGCAACTTGTGATTCGATGTATGTCTAAAATGAAATAAGTGTTTAGAATACTTTTGTAGATAGCAGTGTATCTTAAACGTTTATATGTGCTTCCTAATACAGTAAATGAGACACGTGCCGCCTGCGCAGTAATTCACGTACGAGTATTTTATTTGTCACGTGTTTCAGAAAGATGTAAATACGCGGAGCATGTGCATCGAATCGCGTGAATTAACTTCATTGAAATTCATGAACTGATACGCGAGACATTAGTTTAGAAAAAACGACCTAGCCCTTATATAATTTAGACTTTAATTCCTTATATTACTCTTCAGGAAAATTATTATTACAGGTAACAATTATATATTAAAACAAAATATTTGCAAAATTATATAATTATTATATCATTTTTTATATATGATTTAATTATCAAATGTATTATATTGTATATACACGTGTGTGGTGTTTACATGTATATTTATGGTTTGGGTAAAGTGAAAATCAAAGGTGAACATAAGAAAAAGATGTGGATAAACATACTTCAATAATATTACGACGTGAACATACCAATAAGTGTTTCGGTACATCGCCGAATGATAGCTCAAGGACGGATTCTATGACTGATCTTTTTATTTTTTGTAACGCAATGTCCAAAATTTTTCTGTTTTCATCTTTAATTAATGCGCGTGATAAAATAATGTGCGATTCAACAATGATCCATCTTTATCGATTCCTCTTTTTTGACAATGCGGCCTTCTGTATAAAAAGAAAAGCGAGGCGCGGCCCAAGTTAGTCGGATAAACTTTCGATCATGCAAGACCAAACAACGAAATGGATGAAAACGGAACAAAATGGAATGCGATAAATAGAACGAACCAATAAAAAAAAATCAAAATAATTATATATATATCATTAAAGTTTAGTATTCTCTTAGTCGTTATTTTTGAAACGTAAAGTGCATCAAGATTCTTTGTAAACTCGATACATCAAAGAACAAAAGAGAGAGAAATTTACAATAATTCTCACAATTTCATACACATATATTGAAATTTAATAAATCGATTCAGATTGAAACTATAGAATTTTTATAAGCTATCTCTTCAATTCTCTATTATATAAATATAATTAATATCATAAGATATCACGATATAATTGATTTAAAGCATATTTTTCATTTTCTCTGTATAGCAAAAAAAATGGATTATTTAAACAAACCGTTTAAACAAAATTTTTATCGCCATTTAATATGATTTGCTACAATTAATCAATCATTTAGGATCATTTATTTAAATTAAAAACTACATTTACTTAAATTAAAATTACTGATATTATACTAATTTTAATACAAATTTAATTTTGTGTCTCTTTTTTTCTTTTTTTAACATCTTTCGTCCAGAAACATTTTGACCAAAATTAATCATATATACGTTCTTCAAAAAAATATGTGATGCAATTTCGTCAGAGTTCTCAACAGATTAATTTTATTAATGTCGAAACAAAACGACAATCGATGATTAATCAATCAATCGTTACTGTGTAATTGTAGGCACAATATATTATTTTATTATTATATCAATTATTCTATAGCTCGCATCATACATACATAAATTTAGTGTCTAAACACGTGATTTGATATTTAGAAATGTGAACATAAGATTTAAATGTTTCAACAACTTCAATCAAAAGAATCCAAAATCGAAAAGAAAGCGAAAGAAAAGGACAAAGAAGAAGAACAAGAAGAAGAAGGGGAGCAGTTAAATCGAGTGAGTTAGATAAGGAGACTTGTGGTGTACTCGTAAAGGGTATACGAGTCAACGGAGTTCGTCAGTCTGGAGACGAGCGTCTGCCGGAATAACGGAAGCAATTCAAGTGTTGACGTATAGTGTTGTAGTATAACCCACGATATTAGTTGATAAACAAATCGAAACAGTAAAAGGACATAAGATTTAAAAAGTTAAAAAAATAGAAAATAATAAGAATATAATAATAATCTTCAGATACAGGGACGAAGCGTTTATAAGAAATCTACTCTGCGTGGAAGAAACGATCGCTGAAATGGATAGCAAATGGAAAATACATGTTTTATTTTCGAGAACAACTTGGTTCAAAACGACTCTGGTCCAAAAAAAGTTAAACTAAAGCGATTAAAAATCGGTCACGAGATAGAGAGAAGATATTTGGGACGAATTGTTTGGATAGTGATTTAATAGTGATCGCCATAAAACATCACAATAATTTTTGGATGAGGAATACCTTGTACTCGTAAAGGGTATACGAGTCAACGGAGTTCGTCAGTCTGGAGACGAGCGTCTGCCGGAATAACGGAAGCAATTCAAGTGTTGACCGTAGTATAACCCACGATATTAGTTGATAAACAAATCGAAACAGTAAAAGGACATAAGATTTAAAAAGTTAAAAAAATAGAAAATAATAAGAATATAATAATAATCTTCAGATACAGGGACGAAGCGTTTATAAGAAATCTACTCTGCGTGGAAGAAACGATCGCTGAAATGGATAGCAAATGGAAAATACATGTTTTATTTTCGAGAACAACTTGGTTCAAAACGACTCTGGTCCAAAAAAAGTTAAACTAAAGCGATTAAAAATCGGTCACGAGATAGAGAGAAGATATTTGGGACGAATTGTGGACGGATAGTGATTTAATAGTGATCGCCATAAAACATCACAATAATTTTTGGATGAGGAATACCTCCCGAGGAACAGCTACGATGTAACAACGTGAAATGATTCAGCGAACTCTTTCTATTGGAGATCAAAGTTCAAGTTGTCGCATTGCCGGTTAGACAGGGGGATCAGTATTCTGAGAAGGTCACAAAAATTTATCAGCGATTAACTTGTGTTTTTAAAGAGGAAGAGTGCTAGCAACGCGAGAAGAGATGTGGAAATGAATTGATGCGGCACGCACGATAAGAGGCGACTCTCTGAATATACATCTTGAAGGGTGTGTGTGCTCTTTCTTCTTTCTCTCTTCTTTCCGCGGACCGTTTCTCCAAGAGCAACATCAATCGCGAGAAGATTGAGAGTTAGTAGACAGAAAGTAGACAGAAAAGTCAATGAATGAAAAGGAAAGTATCCATCGTGTAAATGAATATAAATGAATGAGGAAAGTCAGTGCGTAAACGCGAGAGAATCGTTGGACTAATTGTGACATTTTATCCTGCCAGAGATAGGTGAATTAAAAAACACAAATCTGTTTTAAACATTACTATCTCCAAAATAAGAGGAACTTGTTCTAAAATTTTATTCTGATTTATTTCTCTATTCCCTTCTATTTTTGCCTATCCATTTTAATTTTCATAAATCGGAAAAGTTTAAAAATAAAGAAATCAGACATTTAAAAATATAAATATCAAGAAAAAAAATCTTTCAAAACTAAGATATCATAAAGGAAAATAAATTCTTTTGTAAGAATGTTTTTTTTTTTTTTTTTACTTTCTTACAGCACGTGAGCCGCATTGACTTTCAACCTTTCGAAGAATGAGAGGAAAGAAGGGCCGCTTCCTGCACATTCGATAAAAGATGGAGCATTTTGCGGCAAATAAAACGATCTTTGCTGCAGAATTTAATATTGAAATTACTGCAGAAGATGGAGACTACAAGCCATTCGCGCGATCTGTGACTATCGTTGCCGCTGCTTGCGCTATAATGTTCAGCATTATCGGAGTGTTAGGTAACATCCTTTATCCTTTAGAATCGTCTTTTAGGCCCACCTACAGCAACTCTATAGATTTAAATTTTCGACCGCAACCTCTGAGACATGGATGTCTAAATTCCAGGCAATCTAGTGACGGTAATTGCGTTATTAAAATACACCAGATTGAGACGACATGCCACCACGGCGTTTGTGATATGCCTCAGTATCTCCGACTTGATCTTCTCGGCGGTTAACTTGCCTCTAACCGCCAGTAGATATTTGAACGAAGCATGGATTCTGGGCGAGACTCTGTGCAAGATATTTCCCTTATTTTTTTACGGAAATGTCGCCGTATCTTTGCTCAGTATGGTAGCCATTACTATTAACAGGTAAGTTCCATTGAACATACCTCGAAGCCTACACTCTTCGATATATATAAGAAATATTTATATCTTGAGATAATTTTTAAAAATATACACATTATGCGGCAAAAACATATCAGTTATAATATATTCTTAAAAATACCTTAAATATTTTGCGTTAGTAAAATAGCACATATGCGTGACTGACTCTTGATTCTTCTAGATATGTACTGATTTCACAATCGGACATCTACAATCAATTATATACCGGTCGCGGCATAACGCTGATGTTAATAGCCATATGGACTCTAAGCTTCTTGATGCTGCTGCCACCCTTGTTGGGTCTCTGGGGCACTCTAGGACTGGATTCAGCCACTTTCTCGTGCACCATATTGAAAAAAAACGGTTCCAGCCCGAAGAAGTTTCTGTTCGTTCTAGGCTTCGTTGTACCGTGCGTAGTGATCAGTGTTTCGTATCTCTGCATATATTGGCGCGTGCGGAGTAGCCGGAAGAATCTCGAGGCACACGCAGCGGAAAGACGCGCTGGTAGACGAGGCGGTGGATTCCAACGAAGGGAGGATTCCAGAGTGACTAGACTCATGCTTACCATATTTCTCTGCTTCTTGATGTGTTTCATGCCATTGATGCTGGTGAACGTAATCGACGAGAAAATGAAGATCCCGATACTCCACGTAGTAGCGTCCGTGCTCGCTTGGGCCTCGGCGGTAATAAATCCTTTCATCTATGCCGGTACCAACAAACTGTACAGGGAAGCGTACAAACAGGTTCTATGTCCTGCCTCAAACAGAACACCCACGATTGGTCCTAAACCAGCGCATTCTCATTCCAGCAAAGTCTCGTCACCTCATACGACATAAAAATATCGTCCGCTTCGAGATGATTGATCGTAGATAAAGATAGTAATAAGTAAAAAGTTGATACATAATATTATTTTGCTTATCTTTTATAAAGAATTAAGCGTTTAAAAAACAGTAACGTAAAAATAAATTTTTTTTATAGAATATAAATGTAAAAGATTAGAAAAATCTAAAAACTGCAAATGCGAAAGTTTGCGTTCGTGATTTCACAGAATAAGCGTTAACGAAAAAATAAGATTTTCATTTGACAAATCAAATATCTTCTTTTTATTTCTTTTTTTGCAATCGGGAATAAGAAATATAAAATTAACGTAGAAAAAAATATATATAAAAAATCTTATTTCTTGCCTTACATACACAGACACATTGTATCGCAATCTTACAATATAAAATGACACGTCTCTTTGCATAATATACAAAATATACATATACTTTTATTTAAAAAAAGCTTAAAAGTGTATAATAAAAAATATAAATGCACATGGTAACAACATTGGCAAATTAAAACATATACATTTAGAAATCTATATTGCGATTTAAAACAAAAGTATGATTCATATGTGGTATAAATCATACATTAAATGGTATATCTCATACATATAAAAGATTCATGATAAAACTCTTTAAAAAAAAATATTTCGATTTAAATGTTTGTGTTTGTAAAAGATTACACATACATCTTCAGCTTACGATCAAAGCTATGCTTCAGAGCAATTTTGGTTTTGCTGATAATTCGTTCAACAAAATTTACACTATAGATGCATATTAATTTGATAATAATATATTTGTACTTGAAGAGAATGAGAGTATATTATCGTTTAAGTACATCATGTGGATTTAGTCATGCACATCACAAAGGTACTATTAAAAAAAAAAATTTGATTTTAATAAAACCAACAAAATGATTTGGATAAGATTAATATCTATGAATAAAAATAAAGAAATAAAAATATTTAAAAAAAATGTAGAAATAAAAAATGTGTGAAAATAAAACTATATTTTCTATTATATTTAAATAATACGTGATGCATATATTTTATATTCGTGTCAATTCTTATAACTTTACCTTATCTTCGTTACTGACCAATCATATATTAATCTCAGTTATTTTATGCTAAACATGGACGGAAATTGTATCAATACTTTGTAAAATTTACTTCTTACATATTACATTTATGTAATACAATTTAAATTTAGGATATATCAAAGATAAAATGTAAATATGCTACGCGAAAGATCTGTGTATATATACGTACATACATACATACATACACATGTATGATGATAAAACCTATGAGATTCTCTTGTGAATACAATATTTAAAAAAAATGAAACTCGATGCTTTCATTAAACAAATAAAGATATACGTAATAAGATGGATAATAATGTAATGTAATTACGTAATGTATATTATATATAATTTACATTACGTAATATACATAAAAATATGTCAATTGAAATTAATTCAACTCCAATTCCGGTATATAAGGCTCCGTGATTGCGGTAATGGGACACATAGTCAGAGTATCCTACAAAAATGAGAATCATACATAGATATTTTAGTTAATAAATATTTCATATTTTTATAATAAATAAGAATTTCTTTTCTGTAATCAACGCGATATATAGAAATACGCGTTATATATATTGTTAAAAATATTTAAAATAATATAAAATCTCTCGAATTTTATTTTCTTACCAGTCGTGTAAGTTCATCGAACGTTGGCCGCTCTTCGGGATCGTCTCGCCAGCAAGACGACATAACTTCGTAAATCGGATCCGGGACGTCCAACAATTGCGGTAAACGTATACCTCGCACAACCGCGTCCTCCACCTCACTGTCAAGAGTTAAAGTCGAGTATGGCGTACCACCCATGCTAAGTATCTCCCACAAAAGTACGCCGAACGACCAGATTACACCCGGTTGATGTTTCTTCTGCCGATCGAAGCATTCGATCGCCGTCCATCTGACATACTTGACGTCTTCCAAAGAGTACTTGCCGATACCGTGACCAATAAGTTTAGGCGTCCAATCATTTGTTAGGCCCACATTTCGTGCGCAAAGGCGAGTATGAACGATCTTATAATCCGCCAGATATTGCAACGCGACCGCTATCGAGGTCGAAATGGACAGTATTCGATCTGTCGGAAACGCATCCCCGGATCGCGCGCCTAACAGACGATTTTTCAAGATGTGCGGTGGCGATTCGAGCACGACGTACAGCGTATCGGAGGTCTCGCAGGTTCCTACGAGTCCCGTGAGATACTTCATGGAACCCGCTCGAATGCACACGTCTAATTCTCTGAGCATATGCTTCTTGTCGGATCCTTTCAGGGCGCCATCGGCTATGGTGTGAATCGTGACCGGATTAGAGGACCCATCATCCTTCGAGACAGTTCCAGCATGCACAGTGCCGAATCGACCTCTGCGCACTACAAAACTATCGACGGATAGAGCGTTTCGCGGTATACTCCACACTTTCTTTTTCAATTCTTGATAATGATTCACTCTCTCGGGAATATCCTCCGGAATGTAACCCATATTATCCACCTCATAAACCGGGCCTTGCAACGTGAGCTCCTGTTGCTCCGGCAGCTTCCGCATATTAAATCTTTCGTGTCGCCGTCGCAATACAAAGTATAAGAATATCGAAGCGCCGAGCAGTATACTTAAGATTGTGATTGCTATGCATAACGCGAGAGCGGTCGAATCCATTTGACTCGTCGCTGTCGCTTCGCGATTGAGCACGTTATTGGCCAGATCGGAATAGGAACGTTGTATCTCCATCCCTATTCGAGAAATCACCACCAGGCCGACCTGTACGGATACAAAGTGATTTTTCAACGGAATGTTATAGTATCCTCCAATCATCTTGCCGTCGCCTACGATGAATCTCTTGTATCTATGAAAGTCCGAAGGGTCGAATTGCGCAGTAATGTAGTAATTTAAACCCTGCTTTGATGCGCTCTCATAGTTTACGTACTCAACGTGGGGACCAACTGGAGGTATAGTGCCAGTTTGTACAACAACTACTTCGTACGCGCTGATCGGTCCGTATTCGCTGTGACCCTCGGTGAGCATGACGGTTACGGTGCTATCGCCACGTTCCAATATCTCGGGAGTAACTGGTTTATCGGGAGGTCCTATCAAGGTCCATGCCACGGCGTACGCTGGATCGCTAAGCCCCTGCGTATTACTGGCAACAATAGATATATTATACTTGGTGCCTGGTTGAAGACCTTTCAGGATCGTGCTGTTCGATGCACCTCCCTGAATCTGACTCTCGACGGGCGGTAAAACGTTACTAGCATGCGTTTTTATAGCGATAGCGCGTACAGTGTAAAACGTAACATTCCCATTGGGTATATCAGGCGGTTGCCACGTTACTACAAGAGCATCTATGTCGTCCCTAGTTACTTGTATCCTCCTCGGTGGACTTGGCCCTAAAAAATAAATATTTCTTTTTGACATATATATTTATATATTTTATTTTGTTGCGTTAAACACATGTGAATATGGATCGTGCTATTTTATCAACAAAAAAAATCTTTTGTATAACAATATACAATGCATTATATACTATATGTAATAAAACAATGTACTATATGTATTAGATACATAATATGGAAGTTACAAAGCGAAGAATTTATATTATTTAGAAATCATACCTTGCTGACCAGTGGCATAAACGCTCATAGCTTCATAGCTGCCGCAATAATTATTAGGATCGTTGGTGCAAGGAACGTTACAGCTATTCGACGGACCTTTCTGACCGAATCTGCTGATGCAGTAACACAGTTGCCCGTTCATCAATGCCGCGAACCTATATATAAAACAAAGGCATTTTAAAACCCCTTCCACACACGTCAATGTATCTCACAAGCATTACAAACTTACATATAATAATGAGAACGACATTTCTTTGTACACTCGGCAGGTACGCTGGCGTATGCCAGTGTCGGCGATGGTAATTCGGGATCCGAGGCGGAACTGTGGAAACAGCCCTCGTACTTTTGAGCGCACGCAAAGTAAACACTGTAGATAAATAAAAGAAACGTGATCGCAGTCATGTCGAACATGGATTGGTTAATTCTCGGTTAAGATTCTCAATCGCTGCTCTCCTCCGCGTATCGTAACATATCGGTATGAGTTATTCGTTTGGAACGCGCGACAATAAGCGTGTATGAATCAGCGCGGGACGCGGTGACACAACGCGAGACGCACGAGACGAATAGGTTACGTTCGTCTCGCCAAATCGTACTCCGCTATCGAGAAGTCGTGGACGGTTCCCTTCAAGTCGTCAAACTCGCGTACGCTCATCTTGAGTGATTCCCGCGTTCGTTTAATGCTCGACGAGTTCATTCATGAGTCATGAGTAAGTAAACAAAATCTCTCGAGTTTACGTTTAGGCTACGTCTACGTGCGCTCTAACATACGACATCGCCCGTTGGTTCGCGTTTCGCGTTTCGCGTGTGCTCTGTGCTGCACTCTATCATCTTTAAGTCAGGATCGTGGCGAACAATGAGTATATCCCGGGGCGTCCGATCGAACCCTTAATCCCGATTTACGTCCGTAAATTTTATCGTCATGTATTTATATACATGTATGAATTACTTTTTTATATTATCCATGAAAAATTCCAAGCAAAACAATCCCTTCAATTTGGTAAAAAAAATATATAAATATATGATTCTGCGACACTCTGGTTCTCCTTAATTATTACGGCACTGTACTATTTCGTTAGGTGCGGCTACACTTTTACGCACTGGCTATTGTGAATTGTGATATACATAGAGCATGATTGAATGGAATTTACGTCGGTAACTATATATACATGTCCCGAACCGGAAAATAAAACGATATTGTCCATGATAGAGAATGGCAAAATAAGAATAATTAACAAAAGATTAGAAGGCCTGCTGTTGTCAATTGTATTTTCCGTATTTTTTTCAATTCTTTCTTTTTATCTAATATATTGTATATATAATATATTTGTGTAATATATCGTAGTATTATATGTTATATACTTTTCCATATTCAAAATGAGACAAATATAGTATATTTATTTCATTTTGAGAATGTAAAAGTATTTAAAAGTATTTAACGAGCAATACAAAAAGAACTTATATTGTCCAGCAACTTCCATTATTTTCTGCGAGATATATGTTTCGAAATAATATTAAAATCTTTTATAAAGTTATAGAGGGGCAATTTTAATAATACTGTTTCGAGATAGAGAGCGAAAAAGGAAATGGGGGCAAAAACAATTTTATTTAGTAAAATTTGCAAGAGAACAGGTTTTTTTACCGATTAGTTTATAAAGCTTCTGTTCGCGATATTCTCGCCATATTTATTCTCCTTAAAATAAAGTTACGATCGAAGTTGAAATGCGTCACCTCTAATCGAAACAGCTTTTCGGATATGGATAATTGCAGGCTGCGCAATGTTCAAGGTCGCGCTAGCCAGAAGTGTTCGCAGATTACATCTTGATAGCATGATTACTATACAACCTCGCGAGGCGAAAGACCCTTGTTCATCGATTTTCGAGAAATCTGACGAGAACTCTTTTCATCGGCGAAATTCTTCGTTCGACGTCTTTGATACTTTCTACCTCAAGGATGTTGACAAGGGTGTTGTGTGTCGATGTTTTGCAAATTAATAGCAAAGGGCTGCGGCAAGACCTGCGATAAATGTACATAATTAAGAAATGAAATAGAACACGGCCGTAAATTTTAAAGGTGACTTTTATTACCTCCTCCCTATATAATACTTGAATATCGCATAATAACGCAGTATTTTATCCATTCTATCGACAAAGTGTCATCCGTGTTTAAAAATTCTATTGTTAACTGAATTTTAGGTCAATCGTTATAGATCGATACGATATTTCCATACACTCTGTAATAACGCGCAAAGGTGAGACAGAGATAGCTTAATACAGTTTAGCGTCGGAGAGCTCATTTGCATCGCAATTAATAATACTTTTATGCAAATTAATATCCGATCCGCGGCCAATTGTACCTCGTATCCCTATGTAGATGCGTTCTTTCGTCATTTCTCGATCAATGGATCCGTCTTTTGCGGTCTTTTTTCTTAATAAATTATACGATTTTGTATCACAGATGTAAAGTTTCGAAACATCAACGCGCTGTCTTTACCATCAAAATATTATCGAACAGATTGTCATTGGTATATGTAAACTAATTATAGCTTCATTCTCCTTAAATTAAGGTATTTGAGTAAGATATTTTTTCTCTTTTCTTTTGATAAATATATAAATGATATTACACAATTTTTTTTCTATAGAAAAGATCTTTCCTTATCAATTTAATAAAATTCATTATACAGAATACGCTCGCGATATATAACGCGACATAATCGGGAAAAGAATGATTTCTTGCAGAAATGAATCAAAAATATAAAATAAGATTTTTTCCCACACGTTTTTTGTATACTTGAATAATCTTCAACAATCTTACGTCATGTGCCATCAAACTTGTCTCACACAACAATGATTATTATAATAATATATAGATAAAAAAAATATAATTTTTCATTTAACAAAACAATTTAGAATAATTAAAGTTACTGAAAAATATTGTATAAAATATTTAAATTATCTTTTTATTCCTTTGATAAAAGGCTCTGTATTTATATATATATATATCGAACATATATGTGCACAAGAGAGGAAGAATTTTTCATCGAACAATAAAAGCGCAGAATCAAAGAGCGCAGGTCTCTTAAGTCCGACGGTGTCGACCGCGAACCAAGAAAATCAACCTGCCAAGTACGGGTGGTGGGCGGTAGACTGTGGAAGGTAAGGTGAAACACAGGGAGTCACGCGAAGCAACCCCCGTGAAACGGAGGCGGTTCGAGGAACGTTCCCGTAGCGTGGCGGATCAGTCAGTCCTCCAGGATGAGGCGCACGACATGGTTGTTTCTCGCGTCGGTTTTGCTTTTCCAAGGGATCCACGTCATCCGCGCTCAGAGGACCCATGCACGACAGGGTTTCAATCGAGACCGCGAGACCGCGACAGTTACGATACCGAACCAGGGAACCGTCCTCGGCAAAGAGGTGCGACTTTTTTTTCATTCGTTCTCATCGGCTTAAGTTCCCACATTAGTTTGCTAGAACTTGTCATCTTTGGTGATATTTAAAGTTGACAGGAATTTAGATTTTTAGACAAAAGTCTCATCTCTTATACAAAGGAACGGTCAGTTTTATCAATATCTGTTCATTCGTCTTCCGTTCATATTTTTTGATTTTACTTTAATATGCGTCCTTTCTTTTGAATTATAATCCTAGAAACAGGTAAATGCAAATCTTTGTATCAGTTTATTAAAATTCGTTAAACGTTATTTAAATCTTAATTTCATTAATCCGCTATTCATACTAATTCGAAAAACTGTTTCTCTCCCTAATTCTGATGTTAAAAAAAGAAAATTTTAGTTACACGATACAAAATATTCTTCACATTCACAATTTTGGACTTATTTGAATTTATTTGTGACTCGATCGTTAATCATTATGCATCATTTTATTCTTTCGTTACCGTATATATTTTTGAAATCTAGATAACTATCGGCAATTCGATAAAAGTAACGCAGTACCTCGGCATCCCTTACGCACAACCCCCGATAGGTGAGCTTCGCTTCGCGCGGCCGGTGACGGATCCTCTTCCCTCTTGGGACGACGTTAGAAATGCAACGCAATTTGCGCCGTCGTGTCAGCAGGCGAAGGGCCCTCTCAAATTGCACGAGAAACTCTACAAACGATTGCTACCATCGGACATACCCGATCCGGGATTCAGCGAGGATTGCCTCTTCTTGAACATCTTCGCTCCTGACGGTATGTGCGTTAAAGTCATGTAGAGAATCCATGTAGAGCTAATTGACGATTATGTATAAAATTTTGCAGCGAAAATAGCGTCGTTCTAAATTGTTTCAACATTGATTTTCTAAAAATACGCTTTTAATAATATATTTATTAAATATAACTAATCGCGTAATTTATTAAAAATATAATCTTTGATTAAAAAATTTGTTTTTCGAGCGTGTTCTTGATTAAATTTATACAAAACATCAAGTTTCACTAAAAACACTAAGTTTCTTTATATTTTTCTTATGAATAAATAATATTTAATTAGGAAATTATAAAGTACGAAATATGACGTTGATTTTCGGTATTAAACTGTTGTCATAAATTTATTATCTACGAAAGAGTTAGAAAGATTTATGAACAATTGTGATTTTCGCGCAAGGATGAAATCTCTTCTTTCGATAAGTCAAATCGGTAAAAAGCGGGAAGATTGGCTATTGATGACGATCCTTGATAGTATCTCTACTTTTTTTCTAATCTCCGAGAACGTAAAGTAGCACACGCAATGCAACGACGGTCAACGGCAAAGTTCGTTCCCTGACGAAACGCGAGATAACGTTCACCCGCAAGTTCTCGGAGACTGATTCCTATCGTTCAGAAAGAAAGGGGATGATTATAGCGGAGGGAGGGCTGAGAATAGTACCGCCGCGATCAGATAAAAGTGGACCGAAGCAGAAAATTAATAACCGTTAGTATCGTGCAGGGACTAGCGTCATGCAGAAAAGATTTATCACATATGTCATAACGCACGCGTAAAAAAGCATGAAAGTAGAGGTCGTAAAGCTAAAATCTACAATATGTTTAACTTGAAACCAGTTGTTTTTCTACAAGTTTTCGAGAAAGTTTCTGTAGTGAATATCTGAAATTTGAAGACACATTAAAATCTAAATAAATTGATCGAATATGAAACATTTTTCTTTATATGTGTTGCTTGCGCATTGCGCATCTTATTTCTCCACTTGCCCCAGAGTCCCTAATGCAAATTTAATGAGCTACCAATGAAAAGTATGTATATAAGAGACTTCAAATATATATAAACAAAAGGTTAGGGATGGAAAAGCCGAATGCGGACCGTTGGCGCGGCGTCTCCCTTTCGTTCTAAAGGAAAAAAGAAGAACAGCTCGACTCGCGGAGTCGCAAAACCGCACCGGCACGAAAACTACATACGACGACAACGACGACGACGAGGACGGCGATGACCAAGAGTTGGGGGGTGATCGATATATACCAGTAAGAGTAGCTACGGAATAACTGGCGCACGCGGTGGCACGCGATCTTCCAGGGCCCTGTTTTGCGGGAGATGCCGAGATACCAGAAAGCTGGTCACGAAAGTTCTCCCTCTCGCTCTCTCGCAAACATAAGTACCGAATCGTCACAATGTTATGAATCATTATCCGTAAACTTTCCGATGGGAGCTACACCTTACGATCCTTATCATTACGACAATGTGACATTGAGGTGTATTCGAGAATCCCTTGATGACAGTAATGCGGATAAGGCTCAAAGTACCTATGCAAACGTGCCAAGGTGGCGACCTTGCCGTTAAGAAACGACGGGTTCGGTGAAACGATAGTACGAGACGAGATCATGTTCAGGAAACCGCAAATGGGGAGAGGGAGCGGGGAGAATCTCGTACCGGTTCCCGTTATCGTGACAAGCTCGCTAGCTGGAAATAGAACCCCGAACGTGCGAGGGACTATTATTCGCTTATACGTGAATTTTCTCGAGAGAGAAAATTCACTCTCTCTTCTCTCTACCGAATTAAAAATTACAAATTACAAAATTGAAAAAAAAATTGAATCAACTAATAAAATATTATCTAGATTTTTCCCCTCCACACATCGGCTTAATAATTATCGATTTAATTCTTCATAGGTCTGATAATTAACGAATAATCCATGTGCGTAGGAAGCCGCCAAAACGAGCGATGGCCAGTGATGGTTTGGTTCCACGGTGGCGACTTTAATACCGGAACTCCAGCGATTTGGGACGCTTCCATATTCGTTATGAAACAGAAGGTGTGATGTAGCGATTATGAATAATAATATGTGCGAAAACGCGGACGGAAACACGGCGGTTCCAGCGCAGATCGTACATACGTAATAGATCGTGAAAATTAACGTGACCCGGTCGGCGATGCGATCGATATCGATCTAATCACGATATATCGTGATTAACATGTATTTTTCACGAGTACTCATCAATCGGAGCCCTAGACATTCGCGAACCGACAGAAAATCGAAGGGAATCGGGTCAGAGCTGTCCTTTATCTCGCGTGCCGTCACTTCTAAATCTAGAATAGAACCGCACCCTTTGATATTCTCGCGAGATACATCATTAATCGGAATCTTTCATCGTAATACACACTCCAAACGAGATATATGTAATGCGGTATCGTATTTTTTATAACTCGAGAAACAACCCGCGGAGACAAATTAATCGCCCGCGTGAAACGAAAGCGAATCTCGAAACTTTCGGGCGATAACGATCGCGCTCGAGAGATTTTATCGTATACACGCAAAAAAGAAAGAATCCAAAGTTCGCGCGATTAAACGGGGACGACTTTTGCGGTCGGCAGGTGCTAGTGGTGACGGTGGCGTATCGATTAAACATCCTGGGATTCTTCACGACGACAGACCCCGAGGCGCCCGGCAATTACGGTATATTCGATCAAATCGCCGCCCTCGACTGGGTGAAACGAAACATCAAGCACTTTAATGGCTCGCCCAACAACATCGTCATCTACGGCCACAGTTCCGGCGCGATAAGCGTGGGTCTGCACATATTGAGTCCGCTCAGCAAGGGCAAGTTCAACAAGGCCATCGCCATGAGCGGCGACGCCGTCGGTTCCGTCCGTTCGCCGGCAGAGGAATCTCAGGTCGTAGACGTCATTGCCGACAAGTTCGGGTGTTACAGGCAACCGACCAGCTCGCTGATGGAGTGCCTGCGCCGACTCGACGCCAATCTCATCGTCAAGCACTCCTCCGACATCGAGACCTGGGGCCCGATCGTCGACGCCGAGACTAACAACAAGACGGAACCTTTCCTTCCGCAACATCCGACGGATATCTTGGATAGCGGTAATTGCAAAAGCGACTCGATAATGTTTTAAGATGATAGTCGAGACTTAAAAATACGAAGGAAAAACCTTTTTAAAATATATATTCTCCAAATACTGCATTTTTTTTATATTCTTTATATGTAAAGTCTCTTTGACTTCTATATTTGCAGTCCGGATATAACAATTTTTCTTTAACATTTATAATATGCTGGATTTCAGGTAACTTCAACGCGGTGCCGCTAATTGTCGGTTACACGAAGAACGAGCAAGCTCTGGCACTTATAGAGTCCACGAACGGACAGAGTTTGGAGAACGGATTATCCCCGGAAAAGTTCGAAACGATGATCGTAGACGACTTCTCGACGGTGGTGCCGATCTCGGATGAGAATAGCACCTGCGAGTCAAAGCCCGAGATGGTGACGAACGCGGTGCTGTTCTTCTATAAGCCATATCCATCCACGAGAAATGCGACGGTGTTTCGCGACCGATACTTGGATCTGCAAACAGAAAAGACTTTCGCGGCCGGTCTGACGTTGCTGGCCGGCAAGGTGGCGAAACAGGCGGCGACTTTTGTCTATCGATTCGACTACCGTGCCAAGACGCAACCGGTCACGAAGGACGTACCGGAATGGGCGGGCGTGCCCCATATGTTCGAACTACCGTTCGTCTGGGGTTTACCGTTTCAGATGGGCGGCACGATGCAATGGTTGCCTAATGACAGGAAGACGTCCGACACGATGATGACAATGATGGCGACGTTTGCCAAGACTGGCGAGCCTTCCATCACAGGCGGGACTGGGCCACCAGTCAAGTGGGAGCGCTTCACGCAAGACAATCCGGGGATCCTAATTATCGACAAGAATATCGAAATGGGCGAGCCGAACGAGGTGGATTACAAGGCGCTCGCGTTCTGGAACGATTATTATCCGCAAGTCGTGGAAGAGGCGACGACCTGTTGCAACATCACGAACACGGCACGGAGACTATTTTCTTACAGCGTATATCTCAGCGGCATGATGACTACGATGGCATTACATCTCTTCTGGTTTTAGCTACAAACACACAGCAAATATTTAAATAAACAAAAAGATATGTTGCGCTCGCTGTTATATATTTTTAATAGACTAAAGAATCGTCGAGAGAAGACGGTGCCGTCTTTTCGAAAATTTTTTCAATTTTGTAAAGAGATCTCCTCCTCCTCCCTCGCTCTTTACTCTACTTTTTTGAAAGCACAAATGCAGTAATAATCTTGTTATACTCCGTGTAGAATATATAATATCTTGCGCAAATTGATTTTTTATTCGCAATAACTACTAACGTTATAATATTATTCGCGCATTTAATAAAGTTCTCGCACAATTCTCGTACAGATCTATTGCGATATTGTAATCGTGTTAAATTTTTTTTTTCTACGTTCGCATTTGACACACATCTCTCAATTACATTATGAATATATCACAAAGTTATTTTATTCCGTCCTTATTACCTTATTTGATGTAGATTATACGAAACAAGAGAGTTATTTCATAAACTAATCACGCGACATGTCAAAAAATGGTTTACGACTAAAATAAAGGGCACGGGGAGGGGGTGGGGGGGGGGTGGCTCGGAATGAAATAAGATCCAGGTTACATTACAAGAGTAGGAAACTTGGGCCCTTTTCTTTAACATTCACTGATTTTTTTTTTATTATTTGCCTTAATACGGAGAGATATAGAAAAACATACTTTGTTTGAGAAACGAACAGTTTCATAACTTATGAATATTTTGATGATCCCGATAATAATTAATAATTAATATTAATAATAATAATAGCAATAATCATGTTCATGTATGTACCATCTATGTATAATTATTATATTATATAAGAGAGAGAGAGGTGCGCGGCGAGCGATGCATGGGGGCTGGTGACCTGCGCACGCGCACATCCACAAACATTTCTTTTCTCTTTCTTTCTCCTAAATATAATATTAATTAATTATTTCTTTTTTTTCATTTATTCATGCAAAACTCCTACAATGATAACCGATGCTGCGGGGTCTCGTATCCCTACTTTGTGCGCCATTGCTTACGCGTGCACACGAGCCACCCCGGAACCAACGTATATACAATATCCTCTTTCGCTTATCGCTGTGTTGCTTTCTATATTCCGTATCTCTTCGTTCTTCATTCCGTTGCATTACCTTATGCCCTCATTCCCCTGTCATTTTACAACCGTCTGGATTTCGATATCTTAAACTCCCATTCTCTACTTTCACACTTAATATTCTGTCAGCCCCCTCCTCCTCTTTTGTCATTAGTATTTTTCTTGATTTATAACCATTCCAAACTTTTTTTTTTTTTTTAACCACTGGTATCTTCGGATTTTCATGTAGGAGAGTATGGGCTCCGCCATATCTACCTTATAAAAGTAGGCACAGCGATTTCTTTTTCTGCTTCATCTTTTTCTCTGGTGATTTTTTATTTATTTGCCGCACCAGGTCGTAGAAAATCTAGAAGTGAAAGGCGATAATTGGGAGATGATAATGTTGCTAAAGTTCAAAAGTTATCGGCTAGAACTCGATTATTCAATATTGTACATAATTCCTTAAGCTATTAATCATTAGTAGATATTAAGTAAAGATTATAAGGTGGTGTACAAAAAGAAAAATAAACGAATCGATAACCACAACTCACATCGCGAACATTAATTTTAGCTTTGGCAGAGGTCTCCATAAACACACAATTGAATTGCCGAGCAAGGTTGACACCCTGATCCTTTCCTACTACCCTTTCGTCTTCCAGGTCGCACTTGTTGCCTACTAGCACCATCGGTACGTCATCTGTGTCTTTTACCCGTAATATTTGTTCTCTGAGATCCTGCAGATCGTTGAAGGTCGATTGTGCTGTTATTGAATATACTAATACGAAGCCCTGCCCATTTTTCATATAAAGGTCCCTCATGGCTGTGAATTGTTCCTGCGAACGAATTAAAATGAGGTCACTCAAAATGTAATTTATATCATTACAAATGATTGACATCATTACAATGAATTACAAATTAAAAAAAAGAAGAAAGTTACAAGATGTGTTAAAAAAAAAAAAAGATAAATCGATGATCTTATCGCCATCCATCCATTGCATGTGTAAAACAAAAATCTAAACTTGATTTTAACTTGCATTCCAAATAAAGAAACGTAAGAAGACATGTATTATGTGTTGCAGAGTACTTACTGTGCCGGCTGTGTCTAAGATTTCTAACATACATTGTTGACCGTCGACCTCGACTTGTTTACGGTAACTATCTTCGATGGTCGGATCGTACTTCTCTACGAAGATCTCCTGCACGAATTGGACAGTGAGGGCGGACTTGCCTACACCTCCACTGCCCAGCACCACTATTTTATATTCACGCATCTCCTTGCCCTAACTACTATCTGTGGGCCTGGTCACAGTCGAAGGGTCACCGAATCCGCCACGTTTTGCTTCGATTTGCTTTCAGTGAGACGGATCTGAAACAATAACATGCAATGTCTATTTAGAGAGACTATCAACATCACGCGACCAGTTAATTTTAATGACACACCTCTTTCAGAACGAGTCAGCTTTTATGAGTCAATGCTTTTTATACATATATACGATGATATATGATAATTTCACGCACAAAGTAAAGCGAAAGCCATAATTAAAAATTTCCAAGTATAAGGTATCATATATCTTGTGGTGAAATTTATTTCAGAGATTATTTTTTTTTTTTATTATTGATTTAGAATTGATTTTTCTTTAGAGAAAAGAAAACGTTACATTTTTATAATTAGAGAAAATGAGGAGGTTCTTTGATATATCTGATATATCTTCAATATATCTAGTAAATTTTTATTTCTCTCTATTCTCTATCTGATCTTCACCAAAGCATGAGGTTCATTCAATCTATATATACATCTATACCCGACAAAGTCACGCTACTCCCGCTGCGTTGTTTCGGTGAAGCGCAATGTTCACCGCAGCATTGTGCTACAAGCAAAGCAAGACAGAGCAAAAGGGAAAACGCAAATACCATGACGGCATTCCAATTGGCAGGCAATAGCATCATGGCAACGTGCCGTGGCCAATCGGCGGCTGCGAAATTCTTTACGCCAATCCGTCATTGATTTTACCTTTATGAATGGATTTGTATAATGAAAGCTGTCATTTTCTCTCGGACTTTTGTTGACTCGTTATAGCGCTTTATTAAAAGTTTCTTCGAAAACAGATAATTGTGTGCGTAACTATACAACTGTACATAATACGTTCGAAAAATTACAACAGTAATAGATTTTTGTCATCATGTTTAAATTTCTAGCTTTGTTTCTTCGAAACAATTGAGAAAAATTTTCCAAATTTGTATTTATCAGCTCAATATTTCGAATGATCTAAAGATTTTATATTTATTTTTATTCTTGTGTATAAAGAAATAGAAATAAATTTTGTTGTTGATTATTATAATAAATATATAACATCGTTTCGTAAATATTTAATGAAAGATACATGTAACGATGATTTGACTAATTTTATACGAGGTATAATTCTAATAAACCTGACTATGAATTAATAATTTCGCTGAAATGTCATTTGGGAAATTTATTAATCCATTATTTATCTTTGTTAATGTGAACTATATATACAACATTAGACTTCAAATTTAGTTGAAAATGAATTTGGAAAATTTCTTCGCGATTGTTGTATAAATACAATCCCAAAATTTCTCGATATTTCCCAATCTTTCCTTCGCTTCCTTTTTTTTCGAACTTTACGAAATAAGATACGATGATTATGACATTTTAAGAAAAACGTACACAAACTGAATAAAGCGAAAGAAAATAGAAGACTCATACACGAAAGGAAATAACTTTATTCTCTTTTACAAGTGTATATCTTTCTAAAGAAGATACCTCTCACGTTTTTTTTTATGGTTTCTACTTTCCGTAGGAAATACTCTAATCGTGTTTAATTTTCCTAATTTTTTTCACTCTTGCCTTGTCGTTCTTCTAAATTCAAACCATCTGCTTATAAAAACAACCTAGTGATATTAAGTCGATCCTGATTGTAATATCCCGTGAAATTGTAACGCAAGATTCCACGAAGAGAGACACGCATCGCGTTCGCAGCTTCGTTATAATGTACGTTATAGTTCGCAATTTCATTACAATATACTATACTGTGTGTGGTGTAATTAAGTGCATCGTGAACTAATTGGGTCGTACAAGCGCACACGGGCAACAAGTTGAGGTTCGAAAGAGAGACCGATCACAGTGGAGAACCACTAACAATAAGCGGATCGAACTTTTGGCGTTGCTCCAAAATATCTCTGGTTCAAAAAAGTGTCACACACACATACAGAAGCGCGCGCGTGTCACACACACATACAGAGAGAGAGAGAGAAAACGAAAGCACCCCTGACCTAGTTATTAGACTTTGCCGTAGGATAGTGCGGTTCTATAAATCTCCACGCCTTTTGTCCAAGATTTAAAGCTCGCTGATAGAAACCGCGAACTGGCATCGGCCTCTCGTATGTCTCTTTTTCGCGATGAGAAGAAAACCATTCGTTTCTCGCTTTCATATCTCTCGATGGAAATGGCAGTGTAATTTGTCAAGGATACCTAAATTGCCACGTGATGTATAATATAAAAGCAAGAATTTAGAACTCGCGGATAAAACCGATATAAAATCCGACGAGTTTAAATCTCGTGTATGAAGATGATTTCTATGTTTATTTGCGCGCGGCGAGTCCTTATTTTATCCTGTTTGTAATAGAGAAAGTTGAATTTGAAAATCAATCAATTTATGACTCGATTCTGAATTTCTAACTTGGACGAAAATTTTGTCGTTTTGTACTCTCGCATATAAATAATACCGAAGAAATGTCAAATGATGATTTAACCACGGTGGTTTGTCACGTATATTCATCGAGCATCTGATTGTTATTTCTCTCGATGCTTTGGAATCTATGCGATGTTCTTCGACATCGATCTCGCGCGAGATCGAGCTGGTCGAGTGAACTTTGGTCAACCTTCGTCTTTGACTTTAATTAAGCGTATTATTGCCAAGATGTCGACTGCCGTGACAATTAAAGCCACTAAACGCGTACCCGGACTAGAAAGCGAGGTTCCTTGCAAAGTTTCTCGCTCTTGTTTCTGCTGGCAGAAAATGTACAGCTCGCGAGAGTGAACGCTGCAAGTATTGCAATTATCTCTATTGTTAGAATATTTTTCACGTTTCATACGCGCGTGTGAAGAATCACGTTATTAATATTAATGTTATCAAGTTCTTCAAGTTTTCTAGATTTTTCAGGGAATAAAATTTCATCTTTGATCTTAGAACTTATTTTCATACTGTCAAAAGTATATATATATATTAACAAAACAGTGGAAATAAAGCGCATTTAAAGCGCTAACCTAAATGCTAACGGTAATCGTACAAGTAATCTCTATAATTCTACATAATCTTTATTGTTAAAAAATATTAACTTGAAACTTAAGATTTGTGTCAAAGCAAGCTTTTCAATTTTATTGATATTCCTGGCTGTATGAACTTTATCACCGATTCATCTCTTAACTTTAACCACAATTCCATCGTCTCCCTCGCGTTTCCATCGAAATGAAACGAAATCGATTCAATCCTGCGCGTATGATTTGCAATTTACGAGATTCCCTATCAGGCAGTTTTGGGCAAGCAGTTCGCTAAATGCCGCAGCTCTAGATCGTATATCAATTCGAAAACTAGTCGCAAAGCACGTAGCTTTGATGCAACACATATATACACGCTTGTACAACCGATACACCTACACATCGACGAAAGATGGGAGGCACATGCTTTGTATCTCGGACGCGCGTTCAAGGACCGTTTCTCTCGTCTGTCTGTGTATGTGTATTTTATACGGCGAATGTGTCGTTCGCGCACACATACATACATATATTCACCACATATATCGACGTGCCGCCAATCACTTTGACCTGTAAATACGTTATCTGCTCCAGCGATTGCCGATACACTTGATTGCACTCGGTCACCTCTACCGACGTCGAGTCACTTCCCAACCGGGTCTTTACTCCTCGAAGGCGAAGCATTGTCATCGATGTGTGCGGATGTTCATGCTTTTACGCACACGAATACGCGCGTCTCATTTAGAAGATGGAATATAGACGAATTTAATCACGCGCAACTTTGTCGCCACATTAAAAAGAAAGAAAGAAAAAAAAACGCTCGCGCACGATGGATTCACAGAAAGAATAAGTTTGTGATTTAATCCTCGAAGTCATATCTAAAGCATCATATTTATTTGTAAAGTTTACCTTACAACTTGACAATATTTTCAAGTTATTATTTATATATTTGCAACATATTTACGCTCATGCGTCTATATTTATATAAGGTGTGTGTAGACTTTACAAAAATTATAATTATAAACTTACTCTATTAACGCAGTCAAATGTAATGATTTGTAATAATTATAGTATGGTTAACGTACATATATTTATGGACATCACTTTTTTCTTGTTTTAAACTTCACATTTAAGATGAAAACTTGAAAAAAATTTTTTAAACTACTTTTTCTCTCTTCCCCCCGTCTCCTGTGGAAGTCGCAAACCCTATCGTCGTATTTTCCCCCCCGGTTCGCTTACTTTCAACGCCAAGAACCGTGCCCGATATCGATATTCTCCGTTGCACGATCGAAGATTGATCGCGGGAAAAAGAGAGCGCGTCAAAGACGGGACGACGACGAAAAAAGCTTTGGAAGTATCGGTGCGAAACGCGGTCAATCTTCGTTGTCTCGGAGGTCTAGGCTTGCAATGTGATTGTCAGCAGATGCGAGTCAGCGGAGTCAGCTTAGGACGCGCGTATCGAAATGAAAGCATAGCAGAACGCGCATTATCAATGTGTTACGTCACACGTGATTAAATGCGTAATTCCTGAGGATAGCGTGGGCTTGACTATCCTTGCTCCAGAAACCTACAACGAGATGAAACAATTGACAATTTGACAGACATGTTCGAACCGACCGACCGACCGATACGAGAGGCAGTTGCTTTAGACGAGCTCTATTAATAAGTAACTATCAATGAATGATTTAATTTCGTTATTGCGGAGATAATGAATTTAAACGCACGGTGAGTCATCGAAAAAAATATCGATTTAAAATATGCGCGAGAAATTCTTGGGAAAATACAGGATTGACGAATCAGATGAGTTTTAATAATCGAAGTGAGTTTCAAAGTAAATATACGCCCTTATCGAGGACGCTGATGTTCATACGAATAAAAGAGAACTCGCAACTTTCTTCTATTTATATCGTCCCGTATCTTACATAAAACGGCAAAGGGGTCCGTCCGTTCCCCTCTCGAACCTGACACGATCTATGATTCCCTCGAAGGGGAAAGTCCTTCGTGCGCGAGAAGTTGGAAGGGTAAGCACCTTTCTATAAAAAAAAGACATGTCGTATTATCGCCTCGGCTATGATTGCAAACGAACTGAC